AACTGTAGTCAAATGCACCTTTATCTTTGATTACATATACTTACAATGCATGATAATCACAAATTTTGAAGAAGGCATAATTACTTGCCACGGGTCAAACGAATAATAATGGGAAAAAAAGTGGGTTATATATAGCTCATGAAAATCGCGAATATTAAAGTTAGCACAATTAGTTGCTCTTTAATCGATATTAACAAAAATCATGAACTAGCTCAAGAAAATAATGAAGTTCGAACCATACTTATTTGTCATTGGGTCAATTGACGAAATTTTACAAAAACAAATCGTGTTATAGCCCACGAAAATCACGACTTTTCATGAAAGAAAATTTAATTGCTATTGGGTACTAATGAACATAGACTAAAATCGTGACTCACGAAGATCACGGCATGATTAATTGTAATTGGTCAAAACGAACGAACATGAGAAAGAAAATTGTGCGTTATAGCCCATGAAATAGCACATTGTGGAATATGCCTAGACAATTGTCATTATTGCATCAAAAAGACAAATTTTGGACAAAACAAGTGGGTTATAACTAAACAAAATCATGAATTTGGAAGTACAAATACCTATTTGACATTCGAATAAGACAAATAACAATAATAAAAATTGTGAGTTGTAGCCCATGAAAATCATGAAATTTAAAATACACATACTTATTTGTCACTGGGTCAATGATCAAACAGTGAAAAAAATCGTTAATTTTATAGTCCATGAAATCGCCATTTTAGAAGAAATAACTTAATTTTTACTAGGTCGAAACAAATGAACATCAACTAAAATCATGGATTATAGCCAATGCAATTCACAAATTTTAAAAATCATGCATTATAGCCAACAACTTTTGTCACTGAGTCGAAACTAATGAAAATAGACTAAAATTGTAGGTTATAAATCAGTTATTTTGGTACACATGATTAATCGTCATTGGGTTGAAACAAATGAAAATAAGCAAATATCGTGGGTTGTAGCCCATGAACTTGCGAATTTCGATATGCTTGGTTAATTGACGTAGGGTCATAAAGAACAAATCTTGACAAATAATGTGGGTTATAACTAATGAAAATCATGAAATTCGAAGTACAAATACTTATTTGTCATTCGGCAAATACGAACGAAAATTAATAAATATTGTAGGTTATAGCCCATGAAAATAGTGAAATTTAAGGCACGCATACTTATTTGTCAACATGTCAAAACCATAAATGAACAAAAATCATTAGCTATATAGCGCATGAAAATCACAATTTTCAAAGAAATAGAACTTAGTTGTCGTTGGGTCTAAACGAAAGAAAATTAACAAAAATCATATGTTGCACCTATAAAATTCACAAATTTTAAAAATAAAGGTAAATAGCCCAACGAAAATCGCTAATGTTGAAGTATGCATAATTCAATAGCATTGGGTTGAAAAGGAAAAAATGATGAAAACCATGGGTTATGACCCATGACAATCGCGAACTTTAAAATACATATCTTCTACTCCATTAGGATGAAATGGACAAAAAATGCCAAAATTGTGATTAATAACCCATGAAAATCATAATCTTTAGTCATAATTATTTGGCATTGGGTCAAACAAATGACAATGGACAAAAATCGTGGGTCATAACTCAAGAAAATCGTGAAATTTGACGTTCGCACAATTAATTCCTATTGGACCACAATGAACAAGAATGGATAAAAATCATGGACTAGCATATGAAAATAACGAATTTTGAAGTACTCATACTTAGATCGAATAATGGAAACGTACAAAAAACATGCGTTATAGCCAATGAAAATAGCAACATATAACGATAGACATTTTAATTTCCATTATGTTGAAACTAACGTAAATAAACTAAAATCATGGGTTATTACTCACGAAAATTGCAAATTTTTTGGTGTGCATAATTAATTTCAATCACGTCGAAATGAATGAAAATGAACAAATGTCATAGGTTGTAGCCCATACAAAGCAGATTTTGAAATATGCTTAGTCAATTGTCATTGGATTGAAAATAACAAAATTGGACAAATAATCAAGGGTTATAAATAATGAAAATTATGAATTTCGAAATGTAAATACTTACTCGTCATTGGGTCAAGGCGAACGAAAATTTAATGAAAATTATGAGTTATAGCCCATTAAAATCGTGAAATTTAATTTATGCATATTTATTTGTCAATTGGTCAAAGGCCAAAAATTGAGAAAACTCATTGGTTATATAACCCATGAAAATGACCTTCTTTTTTTTCTTTGAAGAAATGATACTTAATTATCATTGGATCAAAATGAATGAATATTAACACAAATCATGGGTTATAGGCTTATAGCCTGGTATTAATTTAGTTTTAAAATCGTGGGTATCCTATGAAAATCGCAAATGTTTAATTAATTGGCATTTGGTCAAAAAGAACAAAAATGACAAAAATCGTGGGTCAAAAACCATGAAAATTGCGAATTTTGAAGTACATATATTTGCTCTCCATTAGAATGAAATGAACAAAAATGCTAAAATCATGGGTTATAATGCATAAAAATAGCGAATTTTTTTGCAGTTGTAATTACTTGACATTAGGCTAAGCGAATGATCATAGACAAAAATCATGGGTAATAACTCATGAAAGTCGCGAATAATGAAATCCACATAATTAGATGTGATTGGATCGGAAAAAAAAAATCATAGACTATTCCTTGAAAATAACAAAATTTTAAGTACCCATGAAAATCGAGGGTCCTATATAGCCCATGAAAATCACTATTTTCGAAGAAATACAACTAATTGTCATTAGGTTAAAATAAATGAAAATTATTAAAAATCCTGTGTTGGCGAATGAAATTCACAAATTTGGAAAGTCATGGATAATAGCCCACGAAAATCTCAAAATTTGAGGTATGCATAATTAATTAGCATTGGGTCAAAAAGGATAAAAATGACAAATTATGAGTTACAACCCATGAAAATCGCGAATCTTCAAGAAGGTATATTTACTCTCCTTAGGCCAATATGAACAAAAAAAATGCTAAGATCATGGGAGAAAATAGCAAATTTTGAAGCAGACATTATTACTTGACATTGGATCAAATAAAATAATAAAAATCATAGGTATCTCATGAAACTTGCAAATGTTAACGTTCACATAATTGATTGTTATTGTATCAAAATGAACAAAAATGGGCAAACATCAGAGACTAGCCCAAAATAACGAATATTAAAGTATCCATACTTTTCTTCCACTAGATCGGATAAAGAAAATTTACAAAAACAGTGTTATACCCAATGAAAAGCGTAAATTTTCATGAAATAAAATTTAATTTCCATTAGGTCGGAACTAATGCAAATAGACTAAAATCAGGGTTATAACACACAAAAATTGTGAAAATCTTGGTACACATGATTAATCGCCATTAGGTCGAAAAGAACAAGAATGAGCATAAATATCCTAGGTTATAACCCATAAAATGGTGAATTTTGAAATATGCTTAATTAATTGTTAATGGATCAAAATAAGAAAATTGGAAGAAAAAAAGTCAGAAGTTAGCCCACGAAAATCGTTAAATTTAAGATACACATAATTATTTGCCGTTAGGTCAAAGACCGAAAATGACAAACATTGTTACTTTAATAGCCTGTGAAAATCTTCACTTCTAACGAAATAAAACTTAATTGTCATTGGGTCAAAACGAATGAGAATTAACAAAAATCATAAGTTATAGCCTACGAATCTTTCAAATCGTGTTATAGCCCAGGAAAATTGCAACTTTTAATGAATGAAAATTTAATTGCTACTTGGTCAAAACGAATGTAAATAAATTAAAACTGAGGGTTATAACCCACAAAAAACGTGAATTAATAAGAAAATGAGATATGGCTCGTAAATAGCAAATTTTAAAATACGTTTAGTCAATTGACACTATGCCAAACAAAATGGACGAAAATCATGCATTATAACTAATGAAAATTGTAAACTTTAAGGTATAAATACTTATTTGTCATTTGGTCAATAAGAATAAAAATTAATAAAAATCATGGGCTATATAACCTATAAAAATCGCAACTGATCATGAAAGATAATTTAATTGTCATTGGCTCAAAACTAACGAAAATAGACTGAAATTGTATTGTTGTTGGGTCAAAGACCAAAAATTGAGAAAATTGTTGGTTGTAGTGCATGAAAATCATCTTTTCAAAGAAAGAAAATTTAATTATCAACGGGTCAAAACAAACAAAACAAAATCATGGGTTATAGCTAATGAAATTAACAAATTTTGAAAATCATTGGTAGCCCAAGAAAAAATGAATGTTAAATTTCA